AATTAAATAAATTCTTGCAAAGATGACTACAAATTTTTTCTGTCAAAAAAAAGTAAACCCTAAAGGCTTGAATTACGAGGGAGAGTTTCAAAGTTTATACAAATACTATTCAATCATCATCAGGTTGACCATAGATGCTGACCTCTCTCTTAGTCTGAAAGGTCTAAAATTGTCATCAGGAGACAAGGGTGGATCAATCAGAAAGCAATTAAGGATATCATCCATCAAACAGAATATAGGATTGAAGAGAGAACCCTTTAAAAACTCATGTTTCAAGGACACAACATTCTTTCCTCCAAGATCGCAGTTGTTTCCAAAACAACTGTACAAGTTATTATCCCGGACCCATTTTTCAGGATAACTTCCAGGGCAAAAATATTTGAATAGTGTAAAGCAGCCAGATTATACGCATTCACCCTTGTGCTTTACAGAGCACCAACTTCACATGGTTTAGCTTGTGTATGCTACACACCAAAATATCGTATAATGCTTCCAATGATTCTCTCATGGTGGCACAGCTTCCCTGTCATGAAAATATTGTTCACTTCACGTCAGCATTTAGAAATTAAAAATTTGATACTTCCTGTTGCGGCATTATTGACAGCGATTTGTTAAATTTCAGATGTTCTCGCTAGTACTTTCAACAGTTTACAACCGTCGTCTTCAGGCGAAATCGAATACCTTTGTTTTTGAATTGACAGCTTTTAACGGACTTTTCAAATTATGTAATGCACATGGTTGGAATATAGAACAAATTAATAAAATTGGATAACTTGGATTGTTTAAATAAAGTTATTCATAGCTGTTAAGACAAAAAATGAAGCATTACCTTTCGTTTTTCTTTTGTTCTTTTATTACTTAACTTTACTGACTAGCGGAACTTATTTACAACATTTCANTGATTTTGTTAAATTTACTGTAAGTGATTTAATTTGCACTTTCTTAATCATCAATTAGAAGAAAGAAAATTATAATATTATATATTGGGTTGTTCGGAAAGTAATTTCGTTTTTTTACCACTAGACGGATTAGTTGTATTTTTTCTGCTATTTTCATTCTAAACTGTATTATCATTATATATCTTGACAGCTAGTATTTTAAGGATTATTTGTAAAAAACTTTGTTTGTTTTTGTGCAATTGTTTATTTTTTGTGTCTCATCAAATATGGAAGATCAAAAGCAGCATTTTCAGCATAGTTTGCTCTTTTATTACTGAAAAGGTAACAATGCCGTTTGAGTGAGAAAAAAATTGTGTGACATTTACGGAGAAGATGTATTGACAGAATGACAGTGCCAAAACTGGTTTACAAAATTTTGTTTTTGCAATTTCAATATTGAAGATGCACCACGTTCTGGATGGCCAGTTGAAGCCAATGAAATCAAAATAAAGGTATTGATTGAAGCAAACTGCCGAATAACAACACATGAAATCACTAAGAAATTAAATTTGTCAAATTGAACTGTTTATGATCACTTGAAACAAACTGGTTTTGTTTCAAAGCTCGATATATGGGTTTCACATGTTCAATATCATCAAACAGAAAAGGCGGCCAGAATTGATCAACAAAACAGGTGTAGTGTTTTACCACGATAATGTCAAATTTCACACAGGTTTGGTAACTTGTCAGAAACTGTTATAACTTAGATGGAACATGCTATCACACCAACCATATTTGCTAAATCAAGCACACTTGGATTATTACTTGTTCTGGTCTATACAATTTTTTCTTAACTGTAAGACATTTACTTGACATGACAATGTCAAAAATCACTTGGATCAGTTTTTTGTAAGCAATGATCAAAACTTTTATGAATGTGAAATCATGTTACTACCAGAAACGATGACAACGGGTATTTGACCAAAATGGTCTATATATAATTCAATAAAATATTTATTTATTANCTTTACTGACTAGCGGAACTTATTTACAACATTTCAAATTGACGAACCTCTGACGACAGAAGACTTTTGCCAGTGTTGCCAGATATAGCTGTACAATAATTAACAATATAAATGTACAATAATTAACAATAGCAGCTATGGATAACTTTATTTAAACAATCCAAGTTATAATTTTGTGTTTTGATTTTATTCCACTACCATGCACGGCACCATCAATCAATATTTATGTGTTTTGGGGAGTTCAAGTTATTACAGCATGTTTCTTTAAAAATATTTATTTATTCAATTTTATTAATTTGTTCTATATTCCAACCATGTGCATTACATAATTTGAAAAGTCCGTTAAAAGCTGTCAATTCAAAAACAAAGGTATTTGATTTCGCCTGAAGACGACGGTTGTAAACTGTTGAAAGTACTAGCGAGCACATCTGAAATTTTACAAATCGCTGTCAATAACGCTGCAACATGGAAGTGTCATATTCCCTATCATCAAATGTCACTGCATGCCACTGTCTTTTATAGTTCACATGGTCTTTCTCAGAAAAAGGTTGATGACTCCTGCTTTATTGCATGACCATTTGACAAAAAATAACAAAGTAAATTTAAAAAATACATTATATAACAAAATATGTTTTATTATATAATGTATTTTTTGAGATGAGAAGTTAATATATTTTAAATTGTTAAATTTTTACATTAATAATAATAAAAACAAACATAAAACTTATACTGTTAAGTAAATTAAACTTCACTCTGACACTGGGGATGAAATACTAAATACGGAACCTGTTACCAGTGTAATTTTGCGTGAAAAAATCTTCCTTTCACAAACGTTTTCGAGCTGGCCAGATAGCTCTTCCTCAGGTATAGAAAAAATTCTAACGGAACACTTCGAAAAATGGAACGTAGATATTTAAATAAAAACGAATCTAAAAATAGAACGCCAATGTTTAAACAAAAATGATGAAACTCGTATAACAAACGATCATTAGGACGGTCATGCGCATTCGTGCACTGATGTTGATATTTATAGATCGTTCTTTATGAGGGCCTGCCACGCTATAGAAAGATTAATCTCATCCTTCCGATTTATACATGTGGTCAGGTGGTTAGCCTTGCAGATGGATATAGCTTTCCGCCATTTTAGATGTTCCAGGTGGGGCGTAGTGTCGATGATATCAGCTTTTTCGAACTCCGGTTCTATATCGGGATCGGATGCAAAGGTGGTTAGGGCTGTGGTGTACCGCCCATGCCGAAGGTCTGCTTGATGCTCTTGTATTCTGGTGTTTAAAGATCGCTTGGTTGAGCCGATATAGACAAGGCTCTCGTTACATCTGTTATCTTTCAGCGGGATAGAGTACACGCCAGGAAGCCTGCTATGAACGTTTGCATTTGACGGAGAAGTCTACAAACAAAAAAGAGGAGTCCCCATGGGTAGCCCAGTATCCGGGGATCTATGTGAAATGGTCGTTAGGCAACTTGAACGAAAAATACTTCCACGGTTCCTCCCAAACATCTTACTCTATAGGAGGTATGTGGACGACATCCTCATCATGTGGAAGACAATACCTGACATCTCAAATTTCGTACAAACCGTTAACGATCCCTATGGCCTAACACTGGAAATGGAACAATCTAGCAATACTGAGGTCCACTTTTTGGATATAAACATTAAAGTAGAAGGATCTGTCATCGCCACGTCGGTATACCGTAAACCTTACGCCGCCTTTATATACATACCGGTAGGTTCATTCGACCCATTCACCTACAAGGCTGCAGCATTTAATACTTTGATTAAAAGGGCCTTTTCCCACTCGTCCACCATGCAAGCCCTCAACACCGAATTGAATTATATCAAGAGAATAGCAGCCAAGCACGGTTACCATGGTCTAACACACCGTCTAATTGAGCGACATCAACGCTCACAATACGCACCCACTACGTGTACGAAGACCAATACTGACCAGGATGAACATACACGCCTCCCAGTCACCTTTAACCCATATGTTAAAGCGATATACGCTGAGATTGCCGGAAAACAACAATTACAAATAGCCTATAGAAGATGCCCAACAATCTACGACATCCTCAGAAATGGAAAAGGCAGTCCGGTTCATAGCAGGCTTCCTGGCGTGTACTCTATCCCGCTGAAAGATAACAGATGTAACGAGAGCCTTGTCTATATCGGCTCAACCAAGCGATCTTTAAACACCAGAATACAAGAGCATCAAGCAGACCTTCGGCATGGGCGGTACACCACAGCCCTAACCACCTTTGCATCCGATCTCGATATAGAACCGGAGTTCGACAAAGCTGATATCATCGACACTACGCCCCACCTGGAACATCTAAAATGGCAGAAAGCTATATCCTTCTGCAAGACTAACCACCTGACCACATGTATAAATCGGAAGGATGAGATTAATCTTTCTATAGCGTGGCAGGCCCTCATAAAGAACGATCTATAAATATCAACATCAGTGCACGAATGCGCATGACCGTCCTAATGATCGTTTGTTATACGAGTTTCATAATTTTTGTTTAAACATTGGCGTTCTATTTTTAGATTCGTTTTTATTTAAATATCTACGTTCCATTTTTCGAAGTGTTCCATTGGAATTTTTTCTATACCTGAGGAAGAGCTATCTGGCAGCTCGAAAACGTTTGTGAAAGGAAGATTTTTTCACGCAAAATTACACTGGTAACAGGTTCTGTATTTAGTATAAAACCTATACACCAGCAATTTTTATAACAAGTGCAAATGTTTTCACCAGTGTTGAATGGGCATCATCAGACAAATGCTGAGACAAATGGGGAATTGCCGAACACTTATGCAGGAGGAGGTGACATATGACGTAAGACGAGAACAGGGAGGGGGGATAGTGTAAGGGGGCCAAAAGGGAGATCTCAAAACAAAAAAAAATTAACGATTATATGTGATATCGTTATCGTCTCCATTGCCGTCTGGACTGCTGAGCAGTAACAGTCAACATCATGTGGGAGCGGTTCAGTCAGAAATCGATGCCTTGTTTACAAACAACACAACCCATTTATTAGACAATTTAATTTACAGAAAGTTTATAGTCACGAAGGGTTTATGTCCTTGTATAATTCGGCATATAGTCTTCAAAGAAGAAGAGGAAGGTCCTGTGAAGAAGATAGTTTTCATTTGCTGACCGGATGTTGCATTCTAAGTCCAGTTGTTGAACAGGAAATGATGTCCAATGAATGCAGATCGGAATGTCTGAAGTTTTTTCAACAAAGGTCTAATACTTTCAGAGGATACATCAGCAAAGGACAGAGATGGAATCTTGCAGGAAGCACCCTAACAAGGGACATAGCCTTGTGGGACACCATCTCAAAGAACCAAGTGTCCCTGTGGCCTGGGCTTAAATATTTTTTGTCTCGCAAATTGTCACTTTATTGGTTATTAATCCCCTTTCTAGGTTGCAGGTTAGTCTTTCTCTGTTACTAGGTGAAATTGGACCAGATTGGTTCCTGAGAAAGATGATTGTTTATGAATACAATTTGATACTGTCTTCAGTGTTGAACAAACCTTTTCTATACCTTAACTAACATTTCCTTTTTTGTTCATTTTGTCTTAATAAAAATTTTAATTTACTAATTTTTTTCTTTTTTTCGCATGGTTTTAATATTAAAATAGTTAAATTTTTTTCTCTTATTCTTTATAATTTAATTTCCTTAATTTTAATTAATCGCAAATATCAAGATTTGTTTTTGTTTATATTTTTGGTTAAAAGAATGTTTTCCATCTCAACTCAGGGCCTCACAATAGTGAGGTTATGGGCTGGGCTACAATTTATATTTCGTAGAAAGACTTCCATGCTATGGGGAAGAAGTCAACATCACAAAAGTTTATAGCTGTGTTATTGCAGGTGATCTTATTTATTTTGACCTGCACCAGCTGCTTGAAGAAGAGTTGCCTGGAAGAGAATGCATAGGAGCTACAACTTACCCTTTAAATATCCACCTGAAAGAGCATCATACATCAAAAAGGTTTGAATAACACCACTTTGACTGTCTACACCTTCGACCCAGACATACAAGTTGAATTTTGTGAGGTACGTCTATCACATAATGCATCTAAGCAATCTTTCTTCATGCATCTGGAGCAAATGGAAATATATAAGTCCACTTGCAATAACAGCTGTAAACTTTTGTGATGTTGATTCCTTCCCCATAGCTTGGAAGTCTTTCTATGAAATATAAATCTCACTATCTTTCCCCTCTCCATTTTCTTATCTTACATCATACATTCCCTCTCCCTGTGCACATGTGTTCAGCAATCTCCCATTTGCCTCAGAATTTGTTTGCCTGATGATGCCTGTTCAACATGATCAGAAACATTTGCACTTGTTATAAAAATTGCTGTGTATATTGGTGTAAATTGGTGTATAGGTTTTGTGTTTGTTTTTAATTCTAATTTAACCAGTTGTAAGGTAGCAGTTATTATTATTAATATTTATGTGCAAATGTTTTATTATAGTTTACAATCCCAGAAAAAAATAGAAATATCTAAGGAAATTGATAAGCTTTCTATGGGTTTAAACAAATTAGATAAAGCTTGCATCGAAGTTCAAAACACTACTGTTCAGTTAAATGAAACTAAACAGCAACTTAATGAATATTTAAAAGAGTGTAAAATGTTTAAATTAAATCTCATTCAAGAAAATCTTGATGTGAAAGAACAACAAAAAGTAAGTCCAATTTCTATTTTAAAATTTAAAATATTAAAATAAAAATATAATAAAATTTTTATATTGCCAAATAGAGATACATTTTCTTTTGAAAAACTAGCAAGTCTTATTCAAGATTCTAAAAACAGCTTCATGTAGCCAGCAATTTGCGAGATGAAAATTATGAAAAATCACTATTAATTTGTTACACTGCTATCAAAAACATATTGCAACTTTTTGCAATGTTCACAATGCAATGAGTATTTTCAGTTATATCAAAACTGATTGGATATATTTGCAGTGATAATTGACTGAAGTATAGCCTCATCCACATTAAGAGAGAAATTTAATCTTGAAATTATTCCCTCAGTTGTTACTTCTCCAAATTATTTTAGGATCATGACTTTTATTAAATACAAAACCAGCTAAAGATAAGTTTATGTTAGTGTCATAACTACATAGGTGCAATGAATACACAAGCACAGGGCCAGGTTGAAGAAGGACCCCCAAAATAGCATACAAAAAAATGACTAATATATTTTTATTTTCAAATTTAAAAGTTTGTTATTATGTAGCTTTCAAACATACTTTAGAATTTTTGTGGCTATAGAACAACTTTTATGTTCAAAAACAAAGCTTTGACTGTAGTTTGCTAAACAATTTGTTTCTTTAATTATACTTTTAATTATATTTGTTATCTTTTAAATTTTGAATTAAAATATTTTATATTTGAGATTTGAGACTCATCACTAAAATTTGCATTAAAATATCTTTTTAAATAAGAAAAAAGGGAGCTAGAAATATTTCTTTTAGTATGAAAAATGTGACACAAATGTATAAACAATGTAAGAATGTAAGTCTTACGATCGACCATGTCCAGTTGGATCAGATTAGACATTGAAGTTAACCTCTTTTGTGATTTAAGTTGAGATCTTGTTACATTTAACAATGACTGAGAGACCGATCCAAATGTGTAATCAGAGACAGAAAATAATAAAAGTTTATGTTTTAAGGATATGGAGTTTTTTAGTGAGTATCTGTTACTTCTTCAAAAGAAGACATGATATTCTGCAAAGATCCATTCTTTATGTGGAATTTTCTATCAAAAGTTCCTTCCTATCAAGATCAGATGCTTCCAAAATAGATTTCTATCCAGTGTTAAACAACAGTTTCCAGTTTTTGTTTGTGACTGTGTTCACTGCTGTCAACTCAACCTGATCTACTGAGAGACCACTACCTGTCTGTCTGAGATTGCCAAGAACATTACCCCAGTGCTATTGAATCAATGAGGAAACATTAGTGGCCTAATATTGCCTTTAAATGTACTATTGTCTCCAGAAGCAACTTTTTGACAAAAATTATGTAAGCTACTGACTTATTTCTAAATACATAGGTTTAATTGGTAAAGGTGAATTGCCTCAGTGCCTTCCACACCAACATATCTCACCTCACCATCTTTCATCCTGAGATTGAATTTTCTTTCATATTGGTAACCTCACAGTTTTAAAATGATTGAAATCTTTATAGCATTTTTTTGTATACTTAAAATTTAAATAACTAGTTCTTTTATAGAATTTTTAAAAATTGTTATGTTAGTGTCAAAGATAGTATTGATGAATTATCTCCTAGATAAATAAGATAATTTTTCAGCAATGTTTAGGAATTCAAAAATTGTGCTTTTTGAATAAGGTTTGTGTTTGCTAGAAAGATATATTTAAGCAATACATTGTTTTAATTATTAAGAAACAGGTAAAATGGCAAAGCCATTTTTGGGATGAGACTATGTCTCAGAGAGCACGAACAATGCATGCGCATTGTTTGGTTTGTAGAAACTCACACCTGTTTGTAGAAAAAGTCTTAGCATTTCGTATTTTCTTTTCACCTGGTTCTTGGTCCCGAGTACCTACAAGTCGGGTTTATTTTATGTGGACATGATTTGGGAACAAAATACTCTGTGCCAAATTGAAACTCCTGATATGTACTCCTTCATACCTCTAAGGTGTGCAGCTATTGACAGCAGTGCAATTTTAGAGACAAGACACAGTCTTGTCAAAAAATATGATTGTCTTTAATACTAATCTTTTAAAAATCAATTTTTCTGATTTTATAAATAAATCATTTTCATTACTTCATTTTTATTGCATAGATTTAATTATAAAATTTAGCACAGATAAATGAATTTAAATCAGATTTTTTTTATTATAGTTATATAGTCATATTTTAAAAGTGTTCTGTAGACTTAAAAAGTTAATGTTACAATAGATATTATTTCAATTTTTATCAAATGCAACACATGATAAATATAAATGGTTTTATATTTTCTTATAAATAATATTTTGAATGATGCTTAAAAAAGAATGTTTAATTAATAGTTAGTTACAAAAAAGACTCAAAGTATTGAAGAAGAAGAAATTGCATGCAAAAAAATGAGAGATATCGCTTTGAGAGATTTGAATGTTGCTCTTCAGACTCTCAATGAAGCTTCAGTGGTAGGTCTAATATTTATATTACATCTTTTATAACGTTTTTATTATATACATGTATTTTTTAGAAAAAAATATTTTCCTTTTTAGCTTTATATTAATAATAATATATCTAAGAATGTTATGGTCAGTTTGACATTTATTAAACTTTTTTAATTTTTGTATTTAGGTATTCAACCCATTTTATTTCTCAATTGATTATTTTTTAATTCAAATTATTATATAATGAAATTAAAGTAGTGATATTTAGCTTTTATTTATTAGAATTTAGATGCTCTTACTGATTTTAAAATTATTTTTGTCATATTGTAAATATTTAGAATGTTAAAAGAATACCATTTATTTTATTTTTTAGTAGAAATATAGTAATATTTGAAATCTAATAAAGAAAATTAAAATTAAAATTTTTACAATATTTGTTTGTGATATTTAGTCTTTAGATGAGTTGGACAAGAAAGATATAGATGAAATCAAAAGTTATGCAAAACCACCAGCTTTAATTGAAAAGGTTATGGAAGCTGTCATGGTATTTAGAGGTGCTGAAGAATCTTGGAATGAAGCTAAAAAACAATTAGGTATATTTATGAATAAGTAAGAAATAATATATTATATTATAATAGATTATAAGAAACAGATATTCCTAAAATTCAGTCTTGTACAATATTTCACCATTAAATATTGACTTCTGCTATATATATATTTCAACTCACGCATAACACAAGTTGTTTTTAAAAAGTTCCAGATTAGGTTAAAAAATCAAAACATGGTAAGAAAAATCCTGTGAGATAAGCCAAGAATCAAGGGACAATTCTTTATGACCACTTACTCTGCATGGGCTGGTAAAGCCTGATCTTCAAGTCATTGGATGGCTTAAAAATGATAGAGGGGTAAGTTATTGAGTGGGGATGGGTAAGCCGATAGGTGTCCATTTTCTGAAGAGACAGAAGACAGGTTTTTAACAAATAAATAAAAGTTTATCATATAACTAATTCTATAATACATATACCAGATATACAATTAAATGTGCTTAAATGCTGTTACATATAAACTCCTATGGAGTGGAATGACAAAAGTTTCTGTTCAGCTTGCAAGGCACATGCTTAACCTATTGACCTATCTCTGACACTAATCTCACGGAGAAAGAGTTTGCAATAATCTACAAATACCTATAGTTTTGTTATTTGAGGATACGATGTTTGCTCAATCAGAGGGAGAAGGATTTGAAGTGGATTGGCGAGCCTATGGGCAAGTCTTCCCTTTGTCGACTTGTATGGGCCAGGGCTATCTGTTTATGTATGTCCACTGAAGTTGGCACATATCTCAATAACAAGAAGTACCATTTTCTCCATCCTTACTTTATGAGGGCCAGTACGAAGGGCTTGCTCCAACATGTGCACTCAGGTAGCATTTCCCCCTCTATGTTTCGAATGAATCAGCTCTCACCACCTAAGGGAACAGAGCAAGAATAGAAAGTTTTAGAAGTAAGAAGGAACAAAGAACAGAGGATTATGCTAAAACTCTGACTGTGCAAAAATTATACAATGGCATAAAGCCAAGAGGTTGAGAAACTGGGTTTTACATTTGTCAATGTTATTTACAATGTAATGGAAATCATTGTGGCGCTAGTTCGTGCTTAATTAATTACTATACACAAACAAGGTTACATACAAAAAACTTAAATTTATTATATACATGAGATACTGTGCGATTGTACAAGTGGAGCACAGAAGTGAGAACACATGTGAGAACACATGTGTCTAGAGCAAGGTTTGAATCCAAAGTATGAGGTCATAGGTCAGGTTGCCTGGTCTGTTCAGTTCAGAGTTCCTCCTGGTAGCAACTTTTGGATTTATTACCAAAGCTGTCACCACAATCATAAATTAAACTTTTGTTTTTACATGGCAACCTTGGCACTATGTGAGCATGTCCTCTGGGGTGGATCAAAGACATTAGACGAAGTTGTGGAGAGTTGTGAGTGTTAATAAAAGGCCAATAATGAATGTGGATATTTGGCAAATAATAGAAATATTGCTATTATACAAAACTCTACCAATGATCAAAGTGAATTAGAAAGTATCATTGGTTTTGAAACTAATAGAGATGATATTTTCTTGCCTAAAAGCCACAGTGAGATCATTTGCAAATCAATCGCGAAGTTAACCAAGAGTGGCACAAAGACAAGACAATTGAAACAATTGAACAATAAATGATGTGTTACTTGTGACAACCCATACCACCATGCAAGAGATATCCTAACTGTAGAAATACTGATTGAGTTAAACTGATGAAGGAATAGAATAGGACCCAGTGTAATATATGTTGATGATTTAGATAAACATTAAATGTAATGTAATATGTTGACGATTTAAACAAAGGAAATGTAATCGAGTAGGTGCCGAGGTGGCGGGACGGAAAGCGAGCGAGAGAGCTCGAAGTAACCAGCTGGATGTAGAAGTGTTTAGTTGTATTAATAAAGAGTTATTCGTACCATATTATCTTGTCAGTTGAGTCGTTTATAATACATGGTGGCAGCGTAGAGGAAAATGTATCAGATCCCAGCGCCAGAAGTTTTTAATTTTTGTCCCGAAGATTGGAGAACATGGATAGGGCGTTTCGAATGATTTCGAACAGTGTCTGGACTCCATAATAAAGAGGAAACTGACCAGGTAAATTCTTTCATATATTTAATGGGACAGAAAGCCGAGGAAATTTTGGCGTCATTTAGTCTCCCAGAAGAGGATAGAAATGACTATTCAAAAGTTAAGGCTGCATTCGAAAAATACTTCGTCCCAACTAAAAATGTTATATACGAAAGATATAAATTCTATTCTCGGTTTCAAGAAGAAGGAGAAACAGTGGAGAACTTCGTGACTTCATTATATAGTCTGGTTAAAACGTGTGATTTTCCTGCTTCGTTTCAAGACGAAATGATTAGGGATAGAATAGTTTGCGGCATTAGAGACAAAAAGGTTTCGGAACGTTTGCAACTTGAAACGGAACTAACTCTGGAGAAAGCAATAAACACTGCGAGACAGGCTAAAACAGTAAAAAAGCAACAAGAAGCTTTTAAGAACAATTCCGGGAATAACATATATGCATTACGCAAAACTGCAGGTAGGAAGAACGTATTTTCGAAGCCGGAAGCTACCGACAATTCGTTTACCGGAAACAAAACTGTGAATTCCTGTTATTGGTGTGGAAAACCGGTGAAACATACTAAATTCAATTGCCCTGCACGTAAGGCGATCTGTAATAAGTGCAAAAAAGTAGGTCATTACGCAAAGGTCTGTAAAGCTAAAGTAAGTATAAATGAAATAGGAGAACCTAATCAAAGTTCATTCCTAGGACAAGTTAAAGGATCAAGTAATATGAACAATAGCGTTAAGAAACAGCTTAACCAGTGGAATGCAAACATTTTTGTGGGAGACATTCCTTTAAACTTCAAGATCGACACAGGGGCAGATGTCACAGTTATACCACACGAGACATATAACAGAGTGCTATCTCGTGTTAAATTACAAGAAACGAATAGAACTATACACGGCCCTGGTAAAAAAACTCTGGATGTTGTGGGAGTGTTTACGGAAAAGCTAAGAAATAAGAGATTCCGCATCCAAGAAGACATATATGTTATAGATAAACTAGAACACTCCTTGTTGAGTGGTAAAGCGAGTGAACAGTTAAATCTTGTAAAAAGAATACAAGAACTAAACTCTACTTTCGATCCATTTAAAGAATTCCCCAATCTATTTCAGGGGATTGGGAAAGTGCAGAAACCCTAT